TTCTAAGCGATAATCTCTCACCTTCCTCATGTGGTTTCTCCTATTGTTGGGATCTTCTGGGTCATGATACGGCTTTGTCACAGGTTTGTTGGCTGTCCACTTATCTCAGGGTGTTCCATTTAGCCCTTCTTTTCAACCATATCCCAGGCACTTTCGAATTATGTGTGGAATCCCTGCATCATCACACTATCTTTTTCTTTTTGGGTTTCTTGTTGATTGCAGTCAGAATCATGACAAGCTCTATTCCTGTTTCCCATCCTAGTCCCCTCAGTTCTTACCTATTCCTTCTTCCAGGGTTCCGAATTTTGTTGTTTTCTGCAACATAGATCGGCATGATGACGACAGTACCGGTGACTACCAGGGGGGTTCCAGTCCAGTGGAAGCTCGACTGTGTGACTTTGTTGTCCTGTGGCAATATTTCATCACAGTTCTGTAGGTTAATTGGATTCCCTGGGATGGACTTGGCCTCCAACCCCTTTCCCCTCTTCCTTTGTCACAGATACCCATTCCTTCTCTCTACCTCAGGATCCCATTCCCAGCCAGCATCAGGCAGAGGCTGTTCAAGAACTTTTGTTTCAACATGCCTTTGAAACTGTGAATTATTTTTCACAGATTTTATTCCAAGATGTTGGTTGTTCCCATGACAACTGGAGACTGGTGGTCTGTCATAGAGTGTCCTGCATCATTCCTTTTCTTAATTTCTCTCATTTTACCATGGAGTTGTATCTCACCCTCAGGTGGGCATTTTCTCCACGTTTATAGATGACCGAGATGGATGACGTAACTGTTTACTTACATATAATGTTAACTTGGTTGTCTTGATGATAACTTTGGTTGGACCTTTGAGGGGTGATTTATCAGCTCTGCATACTACCCTTTGGTCTTGCTTCAGCTTCGTATGTTTTTGTCAAGTAGTTCAAGCTTTTCTTTGATCGACTTCATTGGAGCTTTCAGTTCCACACTCATTCTGCTCCCTCTTTTACAGCTCACAAGGTTCTATTGTTTTTGGGGATGTAGTCTTCCATTGGTACACTTATCCTCTTGGGTCAGGCTCATATGTGAGCTCTTCACCACTAATGGTCTCTTGCACAGGTTCCTTTGCAGGCTCTTACTACTCTTCCTACCATAGTCTGCAATCTGCATTGGTGGATGGACGTACCCTACACATCGGCTGGTGTCCTGCTTTCTCCTCCTAGTTTAATTTACATCTTTTTATGGACACTTGCCTTTAAGGATTGGGGGGTGTGGGTCGCTCACTGGGAAGCTTCAAGGTGTTGGTTTATGGCCAAGAAGTTTTTTCAAATCCATGCTGGAGCCTCTTGCAGTTTGTCGGGCCTTGGATTGTTTCCTCCATTGGGTCAGACATCATCTAGTCATGATTCATCCTGATAATTCCACAGTAGTTGCTTACCTCAGTTACAGGGTGGCACCCATTCTTAATCCCTATGTTTTCACACATTGGACCTTCTTTTCTGGACCATGTGCAGGATATCCATATCATGGCGTGTTAGGTTCTGGGTGCTTCCCATCATGTTGCAGATCATCCTTCCCATTCAGACAGACTCTATCTGATGGAATGGTCTCTTGATCCTGTGGTTATTCAGTGGCTTTGCCTTCATTGGGGTATTCCTCACATCAATGCATTTGTCATATCCCTCAACCACAAACTCCCTCTGTTTTGCTCTCAAATCCCTCATCCACTTACCCTGACTGTCGATGCCTTCAGTCAGGATTGGATCGATAAATTCCTAGATGTTATCCTCCCATTCGACTCCTTCTCCAGGGGATTTAGATCATCCATCCTTTTGATTGCTTCTTACTGGGCAGCTCTGTTGTAGTTTCCACGCATTCTCCAGTTCCACCATACCCCTCTTCTACTCCTTCCTCTGTCTCCTTCCCTTCTTCAACAAACTCGGTCATCGGTGCTTCATCCCATTCTTCCTGTCCTCTGTCTTTATGCTTGGTTTTTATCCAGTCCTTCAGGAGGAGATCAGGATTATCCCAAAGTGTAACTTCCCTTCTTGCCCATTCCATCAGCCCTTTCTCCATGGAACTTTATTAGTGTCAATGGAACGTTTTCTGCCATTGGTCTCTGGGCTGGGGACTTATGGCTGTTTGGCCCACTGTTACTCACATTGCGGAATTCTTACTTGGCTTTTTCAATGGGGTTCCTCTGTCTCCTTGATTTCCAGTTATCGAGTGACTTTCTCTCACACCTACCATTTTTTCCCAATACCATCATGTTTTCCTCTCCTACACTTACCCTGTTGTTCTGTTCTTACCAGATTAGTTGTTCTCCATGGCGGGCTGCTCTTCTGTACTGGGATATCCATGTATTCCTCCATTTGAACCAATTTTTACATGCTCCTTGTCTCACTTTTCCTTTCAGACTTATTTCCTTCTCTTATTGGCCAGTGGGTATTGGTAGTTGGATTTGTTTGTCATTGATGTTTCACGTACTCTATCTTCATACATATCTTCTGCTTTTCCACATCGTTCTTTCCTCCATCAAACCTCAGCAGTGCGGGAGGGTACCTCCTCCTTTCTGCTGATTTCCTTTTTTTCCATTTCCTACCTTGTCCTAGGCCTGATCCGAATAGCCTTCTATGCCCTGTACATGCTCTTCAGTGTTGTATGCACGGCTTCCATCTGTGGTGCACATTCCCACTTCCATATTCCCATGGTAACTGTCCTCTGTTTGTGATCTTTCTCCTCCTACCCTCACTAATTGAGTTTGGCTTTTGTTTTGTTTGGCTTATTCCTCTCATGTCCTTCTGTACTTTGTTCCAAGTGTCTTTTCATCAAATCTGACACCTTATCTTTTCTCTGACATCTCATCTTCATCTTCTTTTAGAGGAAATTCTTCAGTAGGGCATGTGGACTACACGTAATTCATTCATCTTCCATTATTTATTTTATATTGTGCTTTCTTCTTCGTCTTCTGCTTGTGGCCATTTTTCATGATTTGGTGCGACTTTGACTGGATAAGTTTATATTGATACTTTTCCTTTCAGAGGTCTTTCTTTTATTTCCTATCTTATGGATCCCACTGTGTGGCAAATGGTGCTTGACCAGGTATGCTATTTACTTGAAATTCATACTGTCCAGCCATGTTGATTCACACTTTACATTCCATGGCTTTGCAATGCTCACTGTGGAAATGGGTGTTCCACAAGATTGCTTGTAGGTGAATAATCTTGCAATATTATTGCTTCATAAACATGCCCATTTCGGGCATGGACTGCTTGGGCAAAGCAGAAGAGGAGAGCTGCCCATCCCTGCCATGCCCGTAGTAAATAGCTTGGTATGGTATGCTTTTCAGAATAGAGTTTCATGGTCACCCATTGCACTGTCTCCGGTGATGACGTTCCTCTGGACTCTCCACCACTTTTTCACCCTCCTTCCTTCTAGTGGAGTATGGGAGTCCTTACCACTTTCCAGTTCCAAGCCACTGGGGTGGTTGACCATGGAGGCACCCTCCTGAATAGGTTCCACATAAAGATGGCTATAACCATTCAGTGCAGAGTAGGGAAGTGGTGTTCTGCGGGTGTAGTTGATGTGCTATTGTCCTATCTGTGAGACATCAAAATGTAGTTCACCCCTTAGATTGGGAGCTCTCATCGTACCCTCACATGGATGTTGGTACCCCGCAAGCAGATTTTGGATTTAGAGTAGAACCAAGCAACATAAGTCCTCACATATGTTTTGGGTTGTCTGTCCTCCTCCCTCAATTTCCTCCGTCTGTGTTGTGAGTCACAGAGGTGGTATGTGAGATTGTTCCAGTTCTGTCCTTTTGCTATCCCTTGTCCTATCTTCTTATGGAGATGTTATTGCCATTTAGATGATCCTGGTCTGTTTCATGGTTGGGGTAGTTGATTGCATATGGTAGACATCCTTTCAATACCAGATGTCATGTTCTCGAATCAATAGCCTAGAGCTAATACTTGTGTTATACCCAAGAGTTAGAGTGGTTCTCAATCCCCCGGTTTCTTGGATTTGTAGTGAAGATGGTATGATCCCCATCCTACCCTAGCATGGATGTCAGTACCCTGCAGGCAGGTTTTGGATGTAGTTGACTTACCTAGTATGGTCCGTCGCACCCTAGCCACTGTACATCTAGGGGCACATCCTTTGTTTTACCCACTTTTCTATTTGTGGGATTGAGTTACATTATATTTATATAGCCAGGATCACTGTTCTGCCACAGTTCTTTCCCACTTGGATGTGCTCCTCTCATTTTCTGCCCTTATCTCCTACAAATTTCACAGATGGGTGAAGAGTATACCTGGCCCAGAAGTGGTGTGGTTCCCCTCATCTGGTCTTCAGATCTGACTCTCTCATTTTCAGAGGTATCTTTCAGACACGTCTTAGGGGGGGGGGGGTACTTCTTCTCCAGTTTCCTCTGGTGCTTACATCTTCTGCCAAACATCGAAATGATGGTTTGGTAGGGGGAGTACATAGAAGGAGTCACATGCGTCACGTCATGATCATTTTGGTGGAGAAGTGACGCATGATGATTTGAATGAGACACATCTTGGAATCTTTGGGGAAGCAGAAGGCTTGTGGCATGCGTAAAGAAAATATTCGAATATAGAGGGCAGCACTGAACTAGAATATCTAATCTTGTGTCAGGAGGTAAGTACCTATTGGAAATACATTTTCAGTATAGGAAAATTATAACTTTCAATATTAAGAGTTTGAAATTGTGAAGAACAGATTGATAAATAGTGGTAATATCAGTAACCTCATTACCTTTTTTGTGACTCACAATTTTTAGTAGGTACTTGAAGATACAGCCTTGTACATTTACACTTTAATTTTTTTCAAGCTTTTATTACAGACTATAGCACAAATTTACAATGATTTTCTTTATACTTCAACATATACTTAGTTATATATTATAAGAAAAATCCCAATATCATACCATTTTGTTGTTGCTTTGTAGCCTTTATCACATATTTATTGCCAGTGTATTAAGTTTATTCTCATACTTAAAAAAGTGCTCAGGTCACCATTGAAATCACAGTTTACAAATAAATTTACACTGAAATTATTGTACTTTTGAAAAGAAGAATGAAATGTAATCTTTCATTTTTCCCATTCTGAAAATTTTATGCATTTTTAATTGTTATGGTATGTACTAATTTTTATTTTATTATTTTACCAAATTCTAAGGTAAATAAAATATTTTGGATGAATATCTTGAAATTGCTTTGAATTTACCATTGTTTTCACTTCAATAGAAATGAATTTATCCAGCTTGCAATATATACTCTCACATACCCTTGTTCTTAAATGTAATTATATAATGAAAATTTTAGGTCAAAAGAATTAAAAAATATGAAAAGGAATTTGCAGCAATGAGAGAAGAACAGAAACAGGAAGAAGATCCAGTAGAGAGGTTAAAGGTAGGAGATGAAATTATTGTTATATTAGTTGCAGTTGTAAATTAGATAGGGTCATGCAGATGTCTAAAAGAAATTGTTTACAAAACGTCAGAGGCAGAAGTAGACTGCATTGTGTGTATTGAGTTTATTGTATCTGGAATGTGGTATACTTGCAAAGAGAAAGCTTAATAAATAGTTATTCTTCAGTACTGTTCTTTATGGA